CATAAAATTTTAAGTTCATTAGGTGTAATTCAAGATTATTTTCTTTAAATCAACACTGCACTGTTCTATATATTGTCATTATGTAAAATAAATTTCAGAATGACCAATAATTGTACTGTAAAAATAGTTTATGTTCAGGAGAGTCTCAAGTAGGATGTTACCTCCACTAAGCAGAGACACAAACTGACGCCTGCTGGGTGAGTCAAGTGGTTGTTTGGCGCGCTAAAAACTAGTTTCCTGTACTTCAATTATGTTCAATAATTGTTAAAATGACTAAAAAATTTAATATAAAACTTTCAAAATTATTGAATAGTACAACCTTCTTGATATTTACTCAAATGGGAACGAATTTAAGCCCTAGAACCGATTACTGTATTGGCGGACTAATATTCCATCTGGTGAGCAAGCGAAAACATGTTGAGAAGAATTCGTTAACTGAATTGAAGATTATGGAAGGTACTTCGTTAACTGAAATTTCGTTAACCGAGGCGTTCGTTAACCGAGAGATCACTGTACTAGGAAAGGGTTGAGTAATACAATGGACACCATAATTTGGTCTTCACATTTTTAATACAGTATTTGTATTTTCTTCCATTTCACCTTCCTTATTCCTTCGTGTAATATATGATATGAAATGACAGGCAAAGATGTGGCTAATTGTAAATATAGTAAGTGGATAAAAGATTGCTGTAAGGTTATCATATTTATCAGTGAAACTTGGTGGCTTACAGGAAGTGTGAGGCATTTCACCATGATGCTTACCACATTATGTAAGCTTAAAGAGACTCATGATTTCTCTTCCAACAGGTGTCCTTGGCCTCTTTTTCGACCTTTATCAGTGTATCTCCAGAAAACGTTTTGGATGCAAAAACAGCATTTGTATCCATATCTCTATTTAATCTCATGCAATTCCCGATCACTATGTTGCCAATGATGATCACCTCCATGGTGCAGGTAAACCAATAGAGGCTCAGCACATTTACAACTGAAGCATTTATTAGATATATGCTTTAACTGAGGTACAGACAAGCACAGATTTGCTATATACTTTCTCTCGTCAAACACTAGACATAACTGAAGAATTAGAAGAAGAAAAAAAATCCCAAGATTAAATATAAGTATTTATGGGATATTTTTGGATATTACTTCAAGGCTCATGAAATGCATTAGAGTACAGTATTACTCTCCTTATGTATCTGAACAGCTGGCAACTTTCTGACTTGGAAGAATTACCATGTAGGTGAACAGTGCTCTGTTTGTCATTTGCAACCAGCTCCATAAACACTAGTTCTGACTGACTCAATTGTGCACTGAGGAAGCTTTTGTTGAGGAGATTGCAGGGAACAGTGACCTTCAATTAATTTCTGGTGTGCATACAAGTATTTCTTTAGCAGTATTCTCTCTGGTGTGTTCAGATATAAATGATCATCATAATGACTAATGAATTTTATAAATTTACCAAGTTTCATTTGCTTTATTACTATAGTTATAGAAAAAAATGCATTCATTGCCCGATATTACATCTTGAAGGTAATATTGTAGTTAGTGTTTAGGAGAGAGTGGGTCACACTAATGCAACTTGTAACTATTGTTTGCTTTGCCATATCCTTAAATACGTTCATATACTGATTTGACATACATCCCCCTTCCATTCAGGGATTAGATTCACAAAGGCCCCTTCATGTTAATTTCCTTCCATAGCTGGTGATATGGGAATGCCTTTAGCTAAGGTTGAGTCTGAGTGGATATTTTATGCCATTTTGTTTTAGCTTAGAGTCAGCCTCTTAGATGCATTTTTTCATTTCCTATTACAAGAGATAAATTGAAATACTTTACGAACATATGAGAATTTTGGGTTTGTATCCTTCATAAACATAGAAATTTTGTTCCTTTCATGATCTCACATTTAATGAACCTTACCCTTTTTCATTTCTATCATCACCACCATTTTATGTCCATTTCCATATTGCTTGGGTTAGCCTTGGTTACCTGATTACAGCTCTTCTTACTGCAGGCTCTCTTGCAGCCTCTTATCTCTGAGCTCATTACATGTACCTCTCTCTACGTCACTCTTGGCCTACCTCTAGCTCGCCTCCCCTCTCCATTCAGACTCGTGCATTTTTTTTATTCAGTTGGTGTCATCCATTCTCTCCACATGTTCTAGCCATATCAGCCCACCTCTATACAAAACTTTGCCAATACTCTCAATACCCAGCCACCCTCTTAGCTCTGAATCGGTTTTCCTATCTCTTAACATCACATTACACATCCATCTCCCCATTTTCATTTTAGCTCATTCAAGCCTTTTTTTTTTTGTCATCATCTTAACTGCCTGTGTTTCATTGCCTTTTGCCTTTTGATCTTGTGCCAAAGCAGTTATGAAAGATTTTACTCTCTTTTGTATGCACAGCCAATCACTTTGACATATGAAGACCTCTAGTTAGATAAACTTTTTCATTGACTTAACACCTTGTACAGCCATAAGAGACTTCTTTATAAAGGTGTTTATTCCTCAGTACAAGTAAACAACAACTGTTTTACTTGCAGCCAAGCAAATGCCTATATCACTTCATCAAATGGTTTGAAGTTCTTGTTGGTATATGACATGTAAAGATGCAGAAAAGTGTGGAAATGTAAATATTTGAGAAATATTCAGCATGAGCCATCCTCTTGCATGGTAGACAAAGAGACATTAGTTATTTTGGAGAGAGAAAGGAGATTTTTGCTCCTTGTATTTGCCAAATATTTTCCTAAATATTTCTGTTAATTTTCCATTAGGGAAACTATTGCTCAAAGAATCATTTTGCATTTATTGTTAGACTCCATAAGAGATGTAAGTATTAAGTCTGGAATTTAACCTTGAAGTAATAGCAGTCAGTTATGTTTATGAAATTATCAAAGTAGAAAGACACTCTATATTTGTTGTGTAAATTTTAATTCTAGATTTTCTGGCTAAATTTTGTGCTTTTTTGTTTTTTATATGAAATTTTAATATGGTACAGTATTCTAATTTTCACAAACGTGATGCTTTGCACTAACAAGAGAATTTATAGTATTAAGCATGGTTGGATTTTACATTTGCTATTTACACCTCCCCCCCTTTATAAATACAATTAATACTGTCTAGGATGCTTTAGATTTTTATTTATTTATGTCATCCAATAACACTCAATTGCATGTGATCTTAGTTCCTAAACTGAAGTTGATTCTTTTGAATGAGCACCTGTTGTTTACTCTCTGATGGCTTAATGACTTATTTTTATGTAGGTAGTGTTTCATCAGCCTTGTATATACACATAGGCTTTATGAAGTCATTGGTGTTTTTTCTTTAGTAATGAAGTTTGACAAGTTTATCAAAGTATCCATCATCTGTTATCTTTACTTCTCTTTTCATCAACTCTGTTGATATCTTAAACACATCTTTTCTGGTTTTATATTTAGGATGATGTATTGGTACAAATTTCTATTTTTTATTATTTACTCACCTTCATTGAAAAGTTTTTTAGACATTATAATAAGAGAGCCTGTTAAATCTGAGATACTGTACCCATTAATTGACAAAATTCACTTTAACCCACTATACATAACCTTCCACTACTACTATTATTATTGTCTTTTAGGTGGCCTAATAAATTTTAAAAACATATTAGCGCAAACCCACATAATTTTCACATGGGGGTAAATATGATACAAACTCTCCCCAGAATTAACCCTTTGTGTATAGGTTCCCTCTGAGCTGAATGAAATTGTCTGGTATTAACAAAATGAAATATCAAAAGTAGCATCCCTGTAGTGAAGGGGTTAAAAGGTTAATTTATGTCTGAAATGAAAGTGATCAGAACTTTTTTCTCTAAACAGTGTTGTGTTGTAAAGTTTACACGTAACATGTAAAAGATACACTAAGAGTCTAGAGCCAGGCCACTAAATAAATCACAATTCTAGGTACCTTTATCATGAGTCACATAGTAGTACGTCACCTTTATCAACAGATCAAATTAAATCTGTCTTTGCAGTATTTTGCACTACATAAATAGGAATTGGGTAATGATGAGTAAATCATGCAACTGTAAATCTGGTTCTTGTGAAATTGGCACAGATTAACGACCTGTACACCTTAGTTCTTCCTATTTAGTGGTACAGTACAGTATACAGTTTTGGTAATTGCCACATAGGTTTGAGTTTATTGATTTTATAAAGGGTTATTTTATAATTGTTTTCTTATCATTTCATAGGCGATATTTAGCAGTGTAATATTTTGTCAGATTGTTGTTATTTTGTTTATCTTATTTTTTTTATGGGAGAGATTTGTATTTCTATTTTTATTATTATTTTTTTCATGATTTTGATGGTAAGGATATCTCATTTTAAGTATCCACACTAAGGACGCATTACTTTCAGTTAAGTTAGTGTGTACTGTATGTTTCTTTGGGTTACTGTCTGACTTTATTTTATGGAGTAAGGTAAAGGGAAAATATTTTATGCTTTTTGTTAACGGTTTATTTGTCTGCATGTTACCAAACTTTCTTCAGCGTGGTATGTGTGCACTGTACAGTCTGTGTTTTATGCAGCTTGGTGTTTTTATGTTTGAAATTCTGTAATGCATGTTGTTCTGGCCCTGTTATTTCCTTGGGTTTTGACCTAAATTGGATAAGTTGTAGTCTGTGGTGATTTTGATTGTTCTTCCTTTGTTGGGTGATTTATCAATACAGTATTTTATACTAAGTTCCTGATCTTGGAAATACTTGAGTAATTTTCTTTACCTAATTTTTTTCAAGCTTATTACTGATATAATTTTGTTTAATAGAGTAATTTCAGCTCAGTAAATCATGTTTATATATGCAGTATATATACTGTATTTGATTTTATATAAGTAAACAATTTAGTAATTATGACATTTGTTATAAATTTTATGACATTTGCTAAAGATTCACTCATAGGTTCTGATAAACTGTTTGATTAGTTATATGTATAGAGTCTAATGAAGGTTAATTCCTCTCAAGGCAAAAGTTTCCTTGAAAAGGTTGAACAATTTCCTAAATGCTGATGAACTGGACCCCAACAATGTATCAAGAGACAACACAGAGAGTAAGTTGACACCTTAGGTATTTGTGCTTATTGTCGTACCTGTCATATGATTTCCCTCATTTCTTTGAGACTTTTGTACACCTTGATGAGTAGATTGATTTTTGTTTTGTATGGAGTGTATGAGAACAAATTTTTATTAGGTTAGTTGAGTGATATATATATATATATATATATATATATATATATATATATATATATATATATATATATATATATATATATATATATATATATATATATATATATATATATATATATATATATATATATATATATATATATATATATATATATATATATATATATATATATATATATATATATATATATATATATATATATACATACATACGTACATACATACAGTGGTCCCTCGGTTAACGAGCACAATCCGTTCTAGAAGGTTGCTCGTTAACCAAAACCATTGTTTCAATGGGTTTTTGGGTAATTGGTTCCAGCTCACCGAAAATTGCCTAAATTCAACAAAAAAGGTAGAAGAGTACACTTACTTTGAGGTGTGTATGTAGAAGGCTCCTGGATGATGATGATGGGGATTAAAATGGGGGTGGAGGAGAAAGGAGAAGAGAAGGCATTGGGGTGAAAGAGAAGTCACCCCATGGCGCCATTTCACCCATAAAATTTTAGTTCTCTTGGCGTAATTCAAGATTATTTTCTTTAAACCAACACTGCACTGCATTATATATTGTCAATATGTAAAATAAATTTCAAAATGACCAATAATTTGCTTGCAAACACAGAAAAAAAGCGTTTGGTTGAAGAGAGTTTCAAGCAAGATGTTACCTCCACTGAAAAGACACAAAGACTGACGCCTGTATGGTGTGTTGAGAGGCTGGATGGCGCGCATAAAACTAGTTTCATTACCTTCAATTATGTTCAGTAATTGTTAAAATTACTAAAAAATTTAATATTAAACTTTTAAAATTATTGAATAATATAAACTTCTTGATATTTGCTAAAATGGTAAGGAATTTAAGCCCTAGAACCGATTATTGTATTGGCGGACTAATACTACAGCTGGTGGACCGCCAAATGCAAGCGAAAACATGTTCAGGTCGGCTCGTAAGAAACTCGTTAATCGAGGGATTGCTCGTTAACCGAAGTTAAGAATCTTATGGAAGGTAACTCGTTAACCGAAATCTCGTTAACCGAGGGACCACTGTATATATACTGTATATATATATATTTTCTTTGTGTTATAAAGTTTTATGCTTCTTTTGCAGACAGTTGTATTAAAGTTGAGAATGGTACCTTTGCTTGGGGTCATGATGAGGAAGACAGTAAACCAGTCTTGAAAGATATCAATCTTGATGTGAAAGAGTCGTCGCTGGTGGCAGTTGTTGGCACTGTGGGTGCCGGCAAGTCCTCTCTCTGTTCTGCAATCCTTGGAGAGATGGAGAAGCAGTCAGGAAGAGTTAACATCAAGGTATAATGTAATTGGTTACATATTTCTATTTCCAGTTAATTAGTTCTATGCTTGATTGAATGGGAGAAAATTTTTCTCATTCCTCCAGACCATTCATGCCAAGGGCTCTTCGTGGCTTCCCAGCTTGTATGGCATTGTGTTGATTACTATTGCAGTGTAGCTGATGATCAGTTCTTGGAACCCTTTTCTAATGTGCCTTGTCCCTTATCACCAGTAAATTGGCATATGATATGATAGAAGTATTTAAGTGGGTGAAAGGAATCAATAAAGGGGATATAGATAAAGTTCTTATAATATCCGAGCAGGATAGGACTCGGAGCAACGGATTCAAGTTGGATAAGTTTAGGTTTAGGAGGGAGATAGGAAGAAACTGGTTCACAAATAGGGTGGTGGACGAGTGGAACAAGCTTAGCAACTTTGCAGTAAGTGCGGGAACTCTGGAAAGTTTCAAAAGGAGGCTAGATAGATTCATGGATGATAGAGAGTGGTAGTAACTCTCGACAGGAGCTGCCATGCGCAGGCCAACCGGCCTATTGCAGACTCCTTATTTTCTTATGTTCTTATATGTATCATCTTCTCCCTTCACCATTTTCATTGCCATGTCTCTGTATATTTTGCTAAACCAACAACTATACAGTCATGTGTGCAAACTGCCATGCTAGCTATGGTCATTTCTGTGTACTGCCATGCAACAGTACAGTAATTTACACATATTGCCTTGCCAGCTACTGCCAATGTGTACAATGAAAGACAAAAGTCGTGTCGTGAAATTTGGTGAAAACATATGCCAAAGGGCTAAACTTTTGGTGCGCTCTACCTTGTGGTAGGGGTCTCTCATTGTTTCACGGGTTATATTTAATCTTCAGACAAAACCGCGACACGACTTTTGTCTTTGATTGTACACACTACGTACCTTGCTCGCTAGGGTCCTGAATGCTAGCTACCATGCCAGATCTTCTGGTACAGCGCTATCAGGTACTATCATATATGCATTACCATGCCAGGTTTTCTTACTCCATAATGGGGGACTTTGATAATAAATTTTTTTCTCGATGTGCCTCCATCACTTCACTATTTTACTTCCTCCTTACTCAGTGGACTACAACCAGATCCCATTTTGATGGTTCCAACATCAAATATCTATCTATTAAACTCCATCACCTAAAGGGAAATCAGAGTTCCCAACAGTTCTCAGAATTCTCAACAACAATAGTTTGACAACACTAAGACAAGTACTGTACAGTGTCTTGAAGAATTGTTAAAAACTGCTTCAGTATGGGCATTGTGGCATGGAGCTGGGCTTCAAGTTTGCAGTAAGCTAGTCCATCTGGATTGATACAGCAAGATGACATGGTTAAAATCATCCTGATTTTGCAACCAGTCACCATATAAATGTCTTCCACTATTTTATTCTACATTGTAATACTATGCTGAACCTTCAACCTTTCCTTTTATCTTGTAATATGGTCATTGCCTCATTGTTCTGTCCTAGCCCATTACTTCATCCATATAGTTTTGCTCAATACATTACAAGAATACACAAGTGCACCACCTTGAGCTGCATTTTCTGCTCTCTACTGCTTGATTTATGCTATAACTTTTCACACGTTTCTCCCTCTGCTGTACAGTATTTTCTTTATTTTTTCATGACCAGTCTCGTCCATAACAACAAATACTGTACTGTCCTTTATGGTAAAGATGAATATATTTTATCATTGCTCTTTTGACATCAGTAGACAAAATGACTGGTAGGGTTTCTCATGATTACACTTTGCACCAGAAGAGTCCAGTTTTGAAAAACAAATGTAAAATTCCTCAACATTCTTTAGCATTTAATTCTTTATTCAACTATTAATTTTCCAGGGAAGCATTGCCTATGTATCCCAGCAAGCTTGGATTCAAAATTCTACTTTAGAAAACAACATCTTGTTTAATTATAAGAAGGATGATGACAGATATAATAGCTGCATCCGAGCATGTGCACTGGTATCTGATCTGGAGATGCTACCTGGCGGAGATCAGACAGAAATTGGGGAGAAGGTAAACATGAGTCTGTATTACTAGTTTCCAGATTCAGTACTGCTGAGAGAGTTATTGTAATACAGTACAGATATCCCTCGATATATGAATGGGTTAGATTCCAAAAAACATTAGTTAAGTTGATTTTCATATAGTCAATAGAAGAACTTATAAGGGATCATATACAGTACCATAATTATAATTTTTCTCTCCTGTTTCCTGAATGCCAGCCTTACAGCTTGTAAGCATCAAGATTTTGGAAGGGATATTGATATGGGTGCTATGGAAGTTTAGGATTATCATTATATTTCAAGAAGATTCCTCTTTTGTGTATTCTTTGGAATCTGGGAAGGAAGTTGTCAGTCAAAGATAAGTAACAGTTGATGGAAATAGAAGGTACTGTATTATGATGCACTAAGCATCAATTTTATTTTTGTTTAGGTACTGGACTATCACAGCAGCATTTTACTAAATTAATTTTTTCTGTAAATAATTATATTACTACAGTATTCCCTTTTAGGGAATCAACCTGAGTGGCGGTCAGAAGCAGCGTGTCAGTTTAGCTCGTGCTGTTTATGCTGACACTGACGTCTACCTTCTTGATGATCCTTTGAGTGCTGTAGACTCACATGTAGGCAAGCACATATTTGAACAAGTGATCGGTCCAGAGGGACTTCTGAAGGGAAAGGTAATGCTGCAAAATATTTTATGTAAACTATATCAGTAAATATTCTTGATGTTTTAGCATTTTGGGAACAGTAAAATTTGATCTTGTCATCTTGATCAGACATCTTGTCATGTAAGTCTTCTACCACCATGTTCAGTCCCTAAAGTTGTAGGAAGGTAAAGTGAATTATTCTAATAAAGTGTTCATTTCTTCAGCCACTTCGGATGTTAGTTTTTATGGAATACTGTATTCATATAACATTATGTGTGTGTGTGTAATTGTTAAGTCACTGCCTCTGTAGAAACATAAACATAAGTTCTTCATGTGGGGGCTTATGGCTTCGTGATCATTAGCTACAGCTTGATCTGGCACAATGAATTATGATATTGGATATTGTTGTCTGAGAGACAATCCTTCCTTCTATAAACATTGAGTCCTTGCATGGTCCTCCTTATTAACTGAGGATATTTTGATATGATAAATTTTGAGTGGAATTACAGAACTTTATGTTTTCTCTGGGAATAGCTGAAGTACTTGGCTGACTTTCAATATTCTTTACATAATTTGGGGGATAAACGTTTGATTATATTCACAACTAGACCTGTAAAAATATAGAGGAAAATTAATATCTCACACTTGCAGACCATCTTAAACCTCCTTCCAAGGTCATTCTCTCCACTCTCATAAGGCTGCTCAATTTTCTGAAATTCAATCCCTTTTGCAAAATCAATACATAATACAGGTAATTGATTCCATATCCTTAGTAAAAATTATCAAATTTTTCTAGACCCGAATATTGGTAACCCACGGAATTACATACCTGCCACAAGTGGACAAAATTGTGGTTCTCAAGAATGGAGTCGTCACAGAAGAAGGAAGTTATACAGAGTTGTTGAATAAGAAAGGGCAATTCCAAGAATTTTTACTCGAGTACATATCACAAAAGGCAGAGGAAGATGACTTGCTGGAAGGTGTGTATTATGGTGAATTTGGGGTCCTGTATGAGGGCAATCCTTTTTTTGGCCATAGAGACAAGTGTATGACTCACCAGGCCACAAAAGAATGCTCATAGAGGAAACATGGGTAAGAGAGGTGATATGGTTCACTATATAAACACCAATACAGTATGTCAAGGGGGGTTGGGAATACTATAAATAATCTTCATTGTTATTTGGAAAAGGGGTAACAAAAGACTTAACTTTTATGTTCCTGTAAGAAAGTATCTTTTACCCAGAGCAGTGCCAAATATTATGCTCTCAGATTTTCTTATTACATGACAAAACTGTGTTTGAGGTAAGAAATATTTACTGTCATTCTTTGTAGAAGTAAAGCAGGGTGTTATAAAAATTTGGTCTCTACAGTATACTATATGTGCCACCTATGAGATTTTTGTTTTATATATTCTGGCCAACCACAGTGAAAGGGTTAATTATTATAATAGTAACTCAATTTCTTTTATCATATTTCCTAATAGATTTGGAAGACATAAAATTGCAACTTGAGAGCAAAATTGGGCGCGAAGCTCTTCAGCGACAGATTTCTCGCAAGAGAGAAGAGAGTGAAAGTGAAAGCTGCGACCCTAGCAAAAAGTAAGTGAGAAATAGGGCAGAAGAAGAGAGAGATGTAGGTGAATTTAGTTTGAGGCAGAAAAGGTTAAGAATAACTTGAATACATGATTGGAAAGAAGAAAATTTAACCACATATTGTAGATAATGAACTCATTATCTACAATATATGGTCCTGGTTTTGAGTAGGAATTTTTAGTGACTATCATAGAAACCAGGCAGTGATCAGAAGGTCATAGGGGTGGGTAGCCACTAAAAGTATAAGAGTTTGGATGAGTCCTTAATGTGTACGGGGTTCCCTATGAGCTGGATTGTCTGGTGTTTTCTCATCGTATACAACTACCTGAGAGGTGAGTTGTCTCCTTGTTGTGTGAGATCATCAGCTCTTGAAAATTTTTGTACAGTACAGGTATTTATTTATGAATGTGTGTAGTTCTGTGGTGAGTAAATGATTAGTGGAGGATTATGCTCACCTTGTCCTTTAATCCAAGCTGTAATGAGTGAATATATAACCTTTAGTTGTTGAATGAAGAAATTACCTTTTAGATGTTGACAAATAGATATTCACATTATCTTGTACCTTATAGTAATGAGATCATCAAGAGAGGAAGTGTAAAGCGTACCAAAACCCAGAGTGAATCAGAGAAAGCTAAGCCAGCCATCAGTCAACCACCTCAGCCACCAAAGAATGAATCTGGTCAAAAACTCATTGAAACTGAGAAGGCACAAACTGGCACTGTAAGTTCCTTATGTTTCAGAGTGACCTGAAGTCCTGTACTGCTCTGGGGGAGAATTTGCATTTTTTTTCCCCATTGGATTTTATCTTGATATTATTCTTGCTAATTGAGGTTGATAATATCTACCTTCTAAATATGTGCTGTAATGACATCTTTAACTCCCCTGATAGTGATATTTGCTCTCAGTTCCTACAAATGTTGAGATAAATTATTCTTGTGAACACCTTTGTCTTATAGTTATTTATTTTCAAAATTTTATTTTAGAATTATACTGTTGTAAGTTGACCTTGAGAATATTTCCCAATTTCTACACCCATCAGACAGGGCATATGGCTTAATGGCAGGTTACACTGTTCAGATGGTCAATGAAAAAGTTGCTTCCAGTAGTAATTCTCATCCAATTGCTACCAAGTCCTCAGATTCCACGAACCAATGAATTCCGCAGTTCAAAGTCTATTGAGGATTCAGAATCACTAAGACTAATGGATCAACTATGGTTCATGGGCTTTCATTCTTCAAACCCACTTCAGCCGTGAATTTCAACTAGCAACACACTGGCTCTTTCCTGTTAACCTAACTTAATAATTAGTAATTTCAGTTTTGGGGAGGGTAATAGCATGTTTTTTGTTTTTTTTTACAAAAGTCACCTAGGAAGGCATTAGGTCATAAATAGAGCATTAATCCTGAAGTCTCATTTTATGACCAACTTTGGACTCAGCAACTCGGCTACTCTCCCTCTTCCCAGTGGATGGTGATGAAGTTGGCAAGAAAAAGAGGAATGAAAGACAGGAATGATGACTTATGGCTCAACCAATTAACAAGTGCAGTGCACATATACTGATGTAACTTCTTCATTCATTACTTTCAACTTTGATTGGTAACTTACTGGTACAGGTATTTCAAAATATCCATTGTTGGGGACTTGTTTTGACAGGAAGACACAACTGATTCATAAATTAGTCCCAGCCACTAATATATACAAGGCTGTATTATAATTGACTAAGAGAGGATTTAAGTTAATAACCGAATTTCTATATTTTTTTTCTTTTCTATTAGTACTCTGTGGTGTGGTGTTTGTAAACTAACATGTACTATATCCTCTACCCACCTCACCTCTTTGTGCCTTCTCCCTTCACAAAGCTACCCTCGCTTCAAGGACTCAGGTTTTCTAGGTATGCTGCGGCCCCTCTCCCTCATTCCAACACCTCCTACTCTCTCACTCTCCACCACTGAAATCACGATAATCTGTATTCATTCACAACATTAGATTTTTTTTTCTCTTCTGATGTGATTTGAGAAAGAACGTATAAATTGATTTAAGAACTTGGGAAAAAAAAATACCTGTACACTAAACAGTTCATCAATACAAGAGAACTAATGAATCATTTAACCTTACGTATTAAGAACCTTGAATCTACACTGTGGTTCAAGCCATCCATTGGTAAATAGAATCTGATAATCCAGTGCCAGGTGGACAACTTTTTCATTATCCAGCCTGGGTCCGTCAGAATGGTATAACCTGCTATTAAACTACCGGTATATGCCCTCACTGAAGGATACAGTGAGAATGTTTAGTGATAATTTTCCCATGGGTTTGTTGCTTGTCTCTTTCAGGGATTTTATATTTTAGCCCTTCATTTGATTCATTTAGCAACTATTATTTATCTTTTTTATTTCAGGTAGGAGTTAAAGTCTATGGCTACTACATACGAGCCATTGGCATAGCATCATCATGTCTCACGGTTATGTTCTATGTCCTATCTCAATCATGCACTGTAGGTTCCAACATGTGGCTAACAAAATGGTCAAACGAAGAACTAGTAAACGGTACCATGGATCCTAGTGTGACAGACATGTATTTGGGTGTCTATGGTGCTTTTGGTGTTGGACAGGGTAAGTTTGTAGTGCCTGTTTCTGACTAGTTTTACTTTTATTAAATCTTTCAATACTAAGGCATTTAGTGAGATAATGTGCATAAACCACTCTGTTGCAAAGGTAAAAGAGAAAATATTTATATAAAGCATGACTCTCTTGCCTGAGAAAAGACTCCTAATGCAGAAATAGACACTTGCTTAAAGTTAAGTGTATACGTCCAGCTTACAAAGAGTATGGGAAAGTATGACCATCAGTATGCATGTGTAAAATATCCATCTGTTATCTCTAAACTAGTCAGTTTTCATATATCCACCGGGAAGGGTAAAGAGGCATTTTATCATCTGTTCTTGACCACCATTCATCTCAACCCTTTATCTTACCTAATCAACTTGTTTTATAGAATATTTACACAAGGTGTTGGCTTGGGGAAGAGTTTTGCCTTCTTGTTTAATGATACTCATAAGGTTCACAAAACATATAAATTTATAAGTTATTGAGACTGATTATGTTCCTGACTAACTGGGAAAACTGACTTGGAAAGGTTTGGCTCTTCCCAAATTCATCTCAACTTGTGTGCCACAGTAAAATGTTGCTTGGCCAACAATTGAGCAACTTAACCATAAGGTCAGTCTCACTTCACAAAGGTACCGTGAATAGTTTTGTTTTGTTTTCAACTGGGATATGTAGATACAGTACAGTATTTTATTCTGCAAAATTTTCATAGCTATGATATGACTTGCCCCTCATAAGACTTTACAGAACAAATGGATTAATGTTCGCCATACAGCAGCTTCAGAGTACTATAAGCTAAAACAGTTATTCATACGGTAGTACCCCTCAAAATCACTTTATTAATGATAATTGCAGTTACCGGTAACTCCAAGTGTGGTTTTATGTAATGGCCCAAGCATACTGGATTGTTGATTTTATCCATCATTTAGTGATTTTGGGTATAGATGTGTTGATGGATGATGTTGAGTTTTGTTAAGCATTAGTGAAAAACCAGGTGGATATTTAGGACCTATAGTACCTGAGTTGTGGAAGGGGCACACCATATTTTGTCTGTTAAACCTGTAAGAATGAATACATGCAGAAAAATCCATTGTGGTGGCCACCCTATACCAAGTTGGCAAAGGCTGTAACAAATGAAAAGAGTCTTTGTAAGCAGATACAGTAGTTAATTTTATTTACAAAGTTATATTTATTTATTTATTTTAAAATAATTACAGCGGCTTTCATCTTGACGGGCTCCATGATCATTTCGAGGGCAACTATATTGGCATCAAAGCTATTGCATAGGCAAATGCTTGGTAATGTTTTGCACAGCCCAATGTCCTTCTTTGACATGACTCCTATTGGGCGTATTGTGAATCGATTTGCCAAGGATTTGGACACAGTTGATGTACTCCTTCCTTCCAACTTGAGGGCATGGATGGGGTGTTTCATATCGGTAAGCAGTACCTACATAAATCACACTGCAAATTTAGTTGCTGGGCTCATATTGTTAGTGTGGAACTGTGTTGTTGATTAGTTTGTCTTTTATGTGTTAGCTTTTGTGTCTATTATCTTAATGATTTTAAGTGTGCATAATGATATGTTTTGGTCTCCTTTTGCCTCTGGCATAGCCTGTTTTGTCTGTGGTGACAGGGGACCCTGGGCCCTTGTGGTCTACCTGGTTTTTATACTATTAACTAGATATTGTACAGGGAAGGTAATCTACTAGTAAGTACACTACTTTACTGTGGTTCTCAGAATTATTTTAGTTAGTACAGTATTTTATTGACAAAAGTATAAATACATGGTAAATATATACAGTACAAAAAATTCAAAATACATTTGTCCAACAAAATATTGTAAATCAAAACATAACATGTAAGGGGCAATTTCAAACTTAACTATAATTATATAATTATATAATTCAGGCACATATACAATTTCATTTAAGAGTTCACTGATACTAGAAAAAGTCAGCATATGTTACCTTTCACGACAATGTGCAGAGAGTGGACAACCAATCAACACATGCTGTTCACTTTGTACATTGTAGTGTACTGTATATGTAATTTCCCATGAACTACAGTATCCTATAATCTGATTGCTCTTTCCCCAAGGTTGCCAAATTGGAGGTTTAACCTGTGTGTGTGTGTGTGTGTCAGGAAGAAGTCAATAAAGCATTTTGATAATGGTAAAAGTAAATGAAGTGCAAATATATTTTTTCTACAGCTCTTTTCGTCCTGGGCGGATCATTTTCTCTGTATTATGGTGCTCTTGATGCAGCAGAGGCATTACATAAAGACTTACTTCAAAACATACTACATCTGCCAATGTCCTTCTTTGATACAAACCCTGTTGGCCGTATGATTAATCGATTTGCCAAGGATGTAGACACGTTAGATGATGTTTTACCTCGGACCTTAAGATCTTGGCTCATGTGTTTCCTCACGGTATGTAAGCATTGCGTGTTTAAGTATAACTGCATGTGCCACCTCAGGTGCTGGAATCTTCTCTTACCAAGTGTGAACGGCTGGAGCTCTAATTTCCATGTGTTCTTTTTAACCTTTTCTTGAAATATGCTTGTTTTCTCTTTGTTATGCTTTAGTTAATTACATAAGTACACTCGGTGAATGTTTGTAATACCTGTTGAAGATTGTTTCTCATATTAGAGGGATTTAATTTAATTCTTCAATGAATTTCTATATGCTTTTTGATAAGGATGGTTAAGGGAGAAAAATGTCACATGTAGCAGCAGTGAATGTAAATAATATGGTGTGAGGATTAGGGAAGTAAAGGCTGAATGAAGTGTGTAAGGAATGTCTTAGTTTTTATTAAATTTATCTTATGGATGTTGAGAAGGGAATGAATTGATATACTTAGGCATTTTGTTACTTTTTCATAATACTGTAGTTAGGTGCTTCAACTTCACTTATTTAATTAATTCCATAAAGGTATTTAGTTGGTAGGTAGATTGTAATACTGGTAGACACTTTATGGTTGATAGGCAGATAAACAGGTTTTGGTTGTGAGTTAGACCTAACCTACCCAAACTTAACTTAACCTAACCTGTCACAAAATTCTGCATCTTTAGCTTCAGGTTATATAGTACAAGATTTCCAGCTAAGTTTTCTGCGTGGTGCAAGTTCTCAGTTCTTTACCCTATTAATTTTTTTTATACAGTTTTCAGTAACATTTTGTTTGTCTTGGCTTTTTGCATGTGCTTATGGCAACTTGCATTCTCTATCTTGTCACTCTTTTTCAATTATATGTACAGTCAAAGAAAAAAGTCACATTACACTTACTGTGCCTAATGTTTTGAAACTTATGACAAAGAATTTTGGTAAAGTTCCCAGTTCAGACTTGAACCTCGAAGCTTTGCTGTTACTTTACCCAATGTCTTCATCGTGGGTTTCGGAACATAACCCTGGGGGGAGGGGTTAACACAAATTTTGTCTTACAGTACAGTACATTAATTGTTATAACTTAAAGTTTTTCTTTTTCTTTTTTCTTCTTTCATTTATAAGCAATTGTTATAGATTAACGATCAAACATATTTCCTCAGTTGTTTTAGTCAACTAATTTTTGCCCAAACTAAATCATGTCAACATATATCTTCTCTGTATTTGTCTCATGCCAAATGTTATTTAAGTCATATAACTCTAGGTTTACTTTTTCAAAATACTTGTAGTTATACAAGTACCACTTTTACCTTTCTATGAATACTTTATGCAAATATGATTATAAGGTAAGCATTATACTTTGTGATCTATTCTGACTCTTCTCTTGGCCTCCTGCTGGTTTTTTCTATGAAGTTCAGACTGTCCAGAATATAGATTTGCCACTTCTAGTTTTACACATTAGACTTAGATATGATTTTATGTTATTTTCATTGAAGTTCTAACATTAATGTATAGCTTTTTATATGATTTATTTGATTCCATTACTTTTGTATTAATAATTTATTTGTTATGCAGGTGTTAGCAACATTTGCAGTGATCATCTATGCCACTCCTGCATTCGCCCTGGTCATGATCCCCACAATGATCATCTACTATTTTGTGCAGGTAACCACAGACATGCTAAAGTGTACACATTTTAAAGATGGCCCATGCTCAGTTTCTTTTACATGTGGTTGTTATGTAGATCTCTTAGTTATACATTCTTATGCATCCATAACTCATAGACTTCCCACTCAGGAAAAATAATGCCAGCATCTCTAGAATCATCTATGAATTTTTTACTCTTATTGTTTTATATTTTTATTAGGTTCTGTATGTATCTACGTCTAGGCAGTTGAAACGCATTGAATCTGTTTCCCGTTCCCCCATTTATTCACACTTCCAAGAGAGTATACAAGGTATGTATTTTGTTTTATTGCAGGAGTACTGTACAGTATATGCATATTTTATGAACTGTATCAAGCTGTACACTTTGTTGCCTTAATCAGACTAGAAGCTTCCTTAGGTAGATAAAATGCTATATTTTTTCATCATCATGGTTGACAGTGTGATTTTTTATTTATTGTAACAGGGGCATCAACTATCCGTGCGTATGGAAAAGAACATCAGTTTATACAAGACTCTGAAGCCAAAGTAGATTTCAATCTTCGAAGTTCCAACCCAAGTGTCATGGCAAACAGGTACTGAACTTTAAGCTGGTGATTTTGTATATCTTGAGATGATGAATTTATTTAATTATTACCAGTGTATTCAGAATATAAAATATGAAAGTGAAGTTTTAAGAGCTCTTTCAGCATGTTTCAGTAATTTTGTAGCCTGTTGAAGGATAAATATATAGCCTTATGGTAAATTAGGCAACTCAAGTATACCCGGTAGCCAGACAAGTGTACAAGTTGAAAACCCAGGGCTATTAGGACCTCAGGCATTGTTAACTAGAAATAACTTTAAGATTAGTTGAGCTTGCCATCACAATTCTAACCCCATTAAAAAAATGGGGACTGGGAGACAAGAACTACCACTTAAACTGAAGGCCATCATTACATTCAACATTTTACATTACATGTTATTCAATATTAATTGTTTTCATTGCCTGCCTAGAAACTTGACTCAGCCTTAAGAGAAAATGTCCCCATTAGCAACAATTAACAGCACCAATTGGCCCACTTACTTTCATGTACTGTGTGTGGAAATTTATTGAAAGAAAAGTACAGTACATATTCTATATTTTTTAATTTTGTATTTGGAATGCTCATTTCTTTCATAATAAACAGTAGTAGTCTTGTTGTGTCAGGTTATAAAGAGTTAAACCAGTTACCTAGTTATATTTGTCCTTAATAAATGATACCTATAATATTTACCTGAGGTGGTTTTTGTTTATTTTCAGGTGGTTGGCTATTAGGTTAGAGTTCATTGGCAACATTATGACATTTTCTGCTGCCATGTTTGCTGTCGTGGGCCGGGGTAATATCTCTGGAGGAATAGTTGGACTCTCAGTCAGCTATGCTCTGTCAGTAAGTTAATTATAGTGTGTCAGCTAGTTTTAATTGTATTTTTTATGGCATAAGAATTATTCAACAAATGACCTGAGAGATCACTGGCAAAACACCTGACTGAGCCTGTCTTGTTGAGATGGCCATTTGAATTCTCGGGGCAGATGGGTTTCTGTATCAGCACAAAAATATGTGGTTTACCATGTGAACCCAAAGTTTATGAATGAGGGGCTCAAGTCAGTTAAACTAATCCAGGGTTCATCTTGGTGTTTTCAGTGATTTTTTATGACTTTTGTTGATTTTTTTCTTAGGATATTTATGGATTGCTTATTTAGTACCTGAGATTGTGTATGTTCTCACATTCCCCTGATTATAATATACAGTCATTTAAAATATTATATAAGTGACAATACATTTTGGTGTTCTGTAACATATTCTCATTTTAAAACATTTTATTTATATGCTTTTTCTTATCATTCTGTTTTATTTGCTCCTGGCTTTGCAATTATTACCTCCATGCATTAAGATTCTCTTCTTAAGTTCATTACAGTAATAATTGTACTTAGAAGAGGTACATCAGTAGGCCATGAAATCTCGGTAAAGCATTTTTGTAGAGGTACTGTATTCTTTCTTTGAGGATTTACATTTTGGCCTCACACCGTGTTGTCTCATACATGTTTTTTTTATATTTAAGAAAGAATCTTACTCTTGTACTTCCCATTACTTGGTCCCTTTTTTGTGTATTCATTCTTAGCTCAGGGTTTTCATTTTGAATCTACTGTTGGCCATACTTAACTTACATCTAGACCAGTTCATATTGTTTCTACAACAAATTCTTCAGTGATTTGAATAAGGAAAATTAATTAACTTAGTCCTATTATCATCATTCAAATTAGTGTTTTGTGAAAGACTGTGCAGTATGTTAGCCATGGCCTCCCTGATCCCCTCTCATCTTGTAACTTTCTACCTAAATGTTTAGTAAATGTTCTGCATACCGGGTATGTGTAATTTTAATTCTAAAGTTTTTTTACTGGGATGTAGACAACTTGAAGATTAAGTTACTATATTTCATTATTCCATGTTCTAGGTGACACAGACATTAAATTGGCTGGTGCGGATGACCTCGGATGTAGAGACCAATGTTGTAGCTGTGGAACGTATTAAAGAGTACACTGAGGTCCCGCAGGAAGCTGCCTGGGATATTTCAAGCAAAAAACCACACAAGGTATGACTGAGGAAGTTGGTTGATAATGGCTCTTGATTTCTTATTTTTCAATTACTTTGTTGTTATGGGCCTTATTGTGGAGTGGGATCATCATTGCAGTGCACTTATGCTATAATTGAGAGATTGAGTGACAGCAAATTAATGGAGTGAATATGTTGCTCTTTTTCAAGTCAGGGATATCATAAACTAACATATTTACATCGAAAATTAGATTCAAAATAAAAATTACTGTTGAATTTCTACTGCATGAGCCCATTATGAAGCATCAGTACAGTGCCAGGATGGAGACTGTGTTATACTATGAAGACATTAAGTTGAGTTGACATATTGTAAGGAGTTTAACTAATAGTAGTAGTACAGTATTTAGTAAACAGGACACTTGCTGAATATAGAAAGTATAATTAGTCAAAGATCAGACAATATTTTTCATTCCAAGAGTTATAAAAGGATTAATGAAAATAGATATCAAGCACAGAAATTGTATCATAATTTGAATCTTCGAGAGAAAAGTACAATTATCTAACTTAGGAAAGAAGTGAACATGAACTTATAAAGAGGACAACTGGCACCAAAAACTTAAAAGATCAAGTGAGGAGTAGGACTCATTAACATAAGAGTAAATAACAAACTTAAGGGATAAAATGCACATAAATTTCCAGAAAAAAAATAGGTATTAGTGTCTGTCCAGTTTGGGAAGTGTTATCCTCAAGTAAGAAGACAGCTTAGAATATCTAATTGAAGTAAACTGTCTAATAAGGAATAATATACTGTATATTCTTGTGTATAAGCCAAGGTTTGAAGCCCAGATTTTTAGGTAAAAAGTAGGAGGTCGACTTAAACATGAGTAATGTTTTCTAAGGGTTAAGTCCATGCATATTGAAGGGCCAACTGTTATCTTAAAACATAAAATTATTTCCCAATTAATAATGATAGCTATGCTGTTCTTTTGGTAGTACTGTACAGTGCTTTAATTCAAATTTGTTGTTCTTCTATCTCTCAAAACCTAGGATCAACTTATAAATTGTATGAGGATTGGGGGAGAGGGGGAGGGGCAATATAACAGGGGTCAACCTATACTTAAGATCAACTTATTCATAAGTACAGATGGTGTACAGGTATTAGTTAAAAGTATAGCAGGGACAAGCTGCTGACAAGAGATAAATAAAGAAAAGTTACAGAAGACAGCAGGATAAGTGTAGTATTAGACTGAAATATGATAGTTTGTGTAGCAGTTGGTGAGATAATACAGGAATCATGATATCTTTGAGAAAATCTTTTATGGCCCCCAGCATTAACACAGATTCAAATGTAGTGAATAATACGGAAGGTTTTTTAGTAAAAGACTTCTCATGGTTCACTGAGCAAAGCATTAGTGTCTGGTTTTACAGGACTGGCCAGACCAGGGAGTGGTGGACTTCAACAACTACTCCACACGCTATCGTGAAGGGATGGATCTAGTTGTCAAGGACATTTCCTTCCATATTAATGGAGGAGAAAAGGTATGTATACAGCTAGAGTAAGGATTTCCTTACAGTATTTGTAAACCATACTGAGAGAGTGGAATTATATAAGTATTGTTTTGTATTAAATTTTAAAAGTTGTAAATTTTTTAATTACTATAGATATAATATGACTTTCAGATAGGAATAGCTGGTCGAACAGGGGCAGGAAAATCATCATTAACCCTAGGACTCTTCCGCGTTATTGAAGCAGCTGGTGGTAATATCACAATTGATGGTGTTAACATATCTGACATTGGCCTTCATGACCTTCGTGGCCGACTAACTATTATTCCACAGGTAAGCGTGCGTAAATATATAATGTAGAGTTTTTTAGCTGTGTTTCCCAGCGGTATGACTGTAAATCCTAAATGATTCATTCACTGAGATAACTTTTTGTTCTAAAATGCCACCCATCCCACACTGCCCTTCCTGTCCATCTCTAGTGCAACTTGTGATAAGTTTTTATTATACTTATTCATGTCTTTCAGTTGTTTGAAAACTTCAAGCAACTCGTATTGTTTTGTTTTTTGTTAGATTATTAGTATTGACATGTGTAGAATGTTTATACAAGGAATAAATGGAATCCATGACATCAATGACACTTGAAAATGGAGATATTTTCTAACACATCATATAAATGATAGAGTTGGGTTATGTCATGTTTTAGGTGAGCATTAAATAAAAGACAGTACAGGACTGTACTGTTGTGGTACTTATTATAACAAAATGAAATAGGAAATTTTTTTTGTTTTAAAGAGAAAGATGTGTAAAAATTAACTTGGTGTACAATTTTGGAAACAGTACTGTACATACTAATAATATGAAGAGAATATGGGACACCAACACTGAATGTTGTACATTTTCAAAAACTAGAATTACTGTACAGTACTTAGAAGATACTGTGGTCCTTAAGTGGTTACAGGCACTTGAGGTGAATATCATTCATGTATATTCAACAGATTGAGTATATGGTGTATAAAAGTACCTTTTAGACTGGTTACAGTACAGGTATATATACTGTAGCTAGGTTTTTTAACATAGAAAAGACATTAGATTTAGTTAATGTAATGTGTTTATGAACAATAAACACTTGGTGAATGTATTTTTACTGAATTTGGTGTAGCATATTTTTTGTTAATTTGAAGCACTAAGGAAATTGTTTTGCTTTTTTCTGAAGGGAGACTTACCTGAATCCCATGTTTTGTACATTGATGATACAGTATAATTATTCTCTTCTGGTCAGGATCCTGTTTTGTTCAGTGGAACACTTCGAATGAACCTTGATCCCTTTGGAGTTTTTGATGATGCTGAGGTATGGTCAGCACTGGAACATTGTCATCTCAAGGAGTATGTGTCTGAGCTGTCATCTGGCCTTCAATATAATATAACAGAAGGTGGAGACAACCTCAGGTGAGATGTCATCTTTCAGAATATAAAGTATAGTAAGGTAGATGATATCTTTAACAAGATGTTTTTTTATATGAGCTTAAAATTAAGAGGTTTTTTTTTTTCACTGTTATTGAATAAGGTATTCATGGTTATTTCTATTTTAGTGTTGGTCAGAGACAGTTGGTTTGTCTGGGTCGAGCTCTTTTGCGTAAAACTCGTTTGCTTGTCTTGGATGAGGCAACGGCTGCAGTAGACTTAGAAACTGATGACCTTATCCAACAAACTATACGACGAGAGTTTACTGACTGTACCGTACTCACCATTGCCCATAGACTCAACACCATCATGGACTCAACGAGGTAAGATGGGTTTCTGGTTGGTATATTAACCCAGTAAATTATAGTGCTCTGTTATATTTTATTTATTTTTATTTTTTTTTTTTTAGCCTCTTAAGAGTTTTGAAAAGTTTAAAACACATTTTTTTGGGTAATATCACGTTTTCATGTTCTCTCAATTTTGTACTTCGTCCCCACCAAAGTTTGTCTTGCCCAACATCTTTGCTCCTTGTTAATATTACCGGTATATTTTTGGTCATGAATACAGTGTAACTTATCGAAACTCCAGTATAAAATGAAGTAGGATTAAAAAAAAAAAAAAAAAAGAGTAAAATTTGCAAATGTGGTACTATGGAAACTAAACCCTTATACAGTACACCATTAGTCTATCTTTTTGGGGTTCCTTGATGGGAGAAAGATTAACTCGTCTAGTTCTTAATGTGACACAAGTACCAGATCTCTCTATACCCCTGAGCAAGAACCCAAGTAGTTAGAGTACAGTATACGTATATTGTATTGTACCGGTATACAGGTACAGTAGAAGTCCAAAAATCCAGACTGCTTGGGGATTGGGTCGGTCCGGATTTTCGGGATTCTCAGGCAGTACTTTTAAAATTAAAATTTAAGGAGGAATAAAGAAGAGATGAACAGGTACATTTTGATAGTTTATTCATTAGCAAATACAGCATGCTTCATTTATCAAAACGAGCAGTTTTCAAGAAAAATAAAGTGAACACTAGACAAAAATGTAAACAAACTGTCTAATACCATGACGATTATTGAAATTCCTAAGCCATCCATCACTAAATGCGCACTCTGATTCATTTGCTCCTTAAAAGACTTTGCTTTGGCAATAAGCATCGGCCCAGAAATTGCCATACCTTCTGATTGTTTTAGCAAAAAACATTCGTGCAACACTTTATCGAGATTTTCTAATGTGGGCCAATGTAAACTTTTTCTTTCAGCAATTTTAATATAAGGCTCAGAAGAAGCTGTGAATTCTAGAATTTTATTCTTTGCCTTTTTTATATCATAAATTGTAGACTTTCCAATGTCGTATGTTTCCATTAGAACAGCATTGCTCACACCACGTTCTAGTTTCTTAATTATTTCAAGTTTATCCCTCAATTTCAATGTGTTCTTCTTTCTCTTCACACAACGAAGTTTATCTACTTACGGGGCCATTATTATGGGCTTGTACTCTGTACATGGAAAGAGTAGGACTCAAAATTACATACGTTGTCACAGTTTGATTGCTTGTTTTAAAGTGGCGATCGCGTGGTCGTTTGTTGTCGCTGTGCAGCTGTGGCATTCACGCATGCACACATACACACAAAAGATTTATAGTGCCTCAAATTTTACATTTCAGTTCAAGCTAATTACAAAACTAACAAAATTAGCTTCCTATAATTTACAATTACTTTTATTATTAGAATTATGTAAATTAATTTTTTAAAGCAACTCCATTCATTCACGTAACCCACAAAAGCCCGCTAAATTTAAAAAGTTTGAGTTTTCGAAAAGTCCAGATTCTCGGGTGGTCCGGATTCCTGGCATCCGGATTTTTGGACTTTTACTGCATAGAGAAATTAGGTACCATAATTGATAAATCACATTCTTTACTGGAGAATCTGTATGAGACCGCATGATGGATATACAAATTGCTTAAAGCTGTTTTTTAAATTGAAGAGATTTTCTTGATATTTGCACGCAGTATTGTCATTTTAATAATGTATTCTTATTTTTTGTCTTACAGGGTACTTGTTTTAGACAGAGGTGAGGTTAAAGAGTTTGACACACCTTCTAATCTTCTAAAAGACAAAACTTCAATCTTTTATGGAATGGCCAAAGATGCTGGACTGGTCTGAGTTCCTAAAGCACAAATAAAGAAATAAAGTACCTTAAGCAGAGGAAAGAAAGCATTTATTTGTACTTAAAATTTAAAGTGACAGGAATTATTGACTTAGCGTAGTGTTGTGAGCATGTTTAGAATGTTTGTCATTGTATGTCTGACTTATTTTATGAGTTTCATGTGTACAACTGTATGTCAAGTTGAGTGAAAAGTTTGATTTATATGTAACTTTGTGTATTGGTTATATGTTTAAAAGAAAAAATGAAAGTACTGTATGTTGTTGCACAACTTTAGATTTATCAAGACACATGGATAGCCTTGTGAATGCATTGTGGCATGCCAAGTACAATTTGAAATAAATAGTTTAATGTATAATGACATACTGTACAATATTATTATTCTCATTTAGATGTCCTGTTTTGTATCTGTGTCATTCAGCTCTCTAAAAACCAAACCTAACTGAATGATAGGAAATTCTTTGACTAGCCCATTTTAATGCAATTCTTGATACAGTAGAATCCCAGTTATCTGACACCTATGGGGATTGAGAGGGGCAGGATAAAGAGTTTTTCCAGTTATTTTAAACTCACTCTTAGGATCCCCCAATAAACCCTACAATACACAGTGCTACAGGCTGACCTGGCAAATTCGTGTCAGAAAAATGGACTTCTTTAGCACTTATTCCACTCTATATAAACATTATGGCTTAAAAATAAAGAAAATAGAATATAAAACTGTAAAATAAGAAAAATGAAGAGCGTAGGTGTGTATGTGTGGTAAGTGAACGGGTGTGGAGGTGGTGGGCTATAACTATATTACCGAATCGTCAGCCCAACTGCTGCATTTATTGTTACTTGTAATAAAACTACAGTATAAAAGTTGTCAAAAAATCATTACAATACTGTACTGTACTTTAATGTGGCTTACAAATAAATGAAATATAATATAAAACTATAAAATAAGGAAAATGAAGAGCATGGGTGTGTATAGTATGTGGGAAGTGAATGTGTGTTGAGGCAGTGGGGTACTGAGCTATAACTGCATGACTGCACTCCCTCCTAATGTGATGTCACGGCATGCACACAGCCAGCACTGGAGCCACACATCTGTGAGTCAGCTGGTTGACTGCCTGAACTGTGTCGTGTCACCCAGAGGATGGTTTGAGTGTGGAAAGAGTTATTTTTTGGTATGTAAAAGATGTGCTATTGTATTTTATGACATGCGATGTATCGATTTTATTGTTTACTATAGCAATAAATATGGCAGCTCATTCCTGGTGCGCGCAGTATTCAAACTGACAATTCTAGCTGATTTTGGAGGATTTTATTTTATCATTACAGTATTATTGTTTCATTTTGGTGCCGATTAGTTGAATCTACTGGACAATTGGGACTCTATTGTAAATCAATATATGGTCACTGTTATATTAATGATTGGAGGATATAATTTATATACGTACAATATGTAGTTTTAACTGAAATAATTAAAGATGAAAATTTCATATCGTGTTTTATTTCATAAAACTTGTTCTCCCAGTACAGTACAATATATATATGGCAGCAGGGTCTACCACACAACACATTATGCTTCCAATATCTTCCCAGGCGGTAGTACCTCCCTGTTTGGTAGCTGCTTACTACTGTACCTACTTGACCCTCTTAATTGTGTTTATTGATTCATTTTTCCATTGATACTGAACCTAAAGATAAAATGCAATATGGTTTTTGTTAAATTTACTGGATAAAGACAAATTATTGGACCTCCTACACAAATATAACGAATATTCACAAGAATTTGAAAACTTCTCTTCCAACTTTTTTTATTTTTGTCGATTAATATTTTTTTATTAATTTATTTTTTGAGTTGTACAATTTTTATTGTCTTATCATTTATACTCCTTTGAAATTTGTTTCATAGTAACTGAATACAGAATTTGAGGTAAAAAGTCAACATGACCTATGGTATAAAATTCTTACTTTCAAAAATGTGAATATTTTTTTTTTAACATTAAGGTGAATCAGGTTGAACTGGTAAAAAAAATAATAATATGAAAGTAATGTCATGACATTTTGAAAGCTAATATCCTGTTGCATCATTCCTCACTGTACTGTAGGGTGGCAACCCGCTAGCAAGAAAGGATTGCATAGCCTGTGTATGTAAGGTTATATAAATGTTTGTTAAGACTTATCACCTCGTGTATGACTGATGGTCCAGTACGGACTTCGGACAACAGCAGATAGGTTGTATTGTAAACTAAAGGCTGGGGGAGTGTTTGGAGGACACACAAACGCACACACCAGCTCCGCCACACAGTCGCCGAGATAGTTCATCGTGATTCGTGTTGGTCATGCTCACTACCTCTGTCCTGTTGGAGGTTAAGATGGGTGGTGCTGGGCCCGCCTCACTTTTTTCCCCTGTAACTGGTGAGAGAACTCTTCAGTCTTGATGGCCCAAATTGCAATGAAATTATATTGACTAGTAGATATTAAATAATCTAATTTGGGGGAATTATTTGAAAATTTAAGAACTCTGGCTGAATGGCTGTTTCCCTCTAAACGAAATCAATTTCATTAAGTTTATCCAAGAACATCAATATAAATAAAAGTTCAGATGTAAAACACAGAACAATATTATTAGTATTCATATGTGCTGAAAGTATCAGCCTCCCTCATTCATTGATAAACCATTAAACCTCTCCAACATATATTTTGTCATTTCATCACTTGTCAGCTTATTTAACGATCGGGCGGTTAGTCTGTCCTTTGATACGCTGTTGTGACCTTTATTGATCGTTACTGCTCAATAGCATACGTTGTTTATAATTCAAAGGGTTATAAGAATAAACCACGTGAGTCATATTTCAGAACTGGTTCCCTAGTAACGTTCCACTTACGAGTATGTATGTGACAAAGGAGAACCAGTTCAATTAACTCTGAACCAGCAAAAAAATGGCATAGAGCAATAATTGCAGATGCAGATCGAGTGACGATAAAAGCTGTGTTTGCGCTGTTAATGCCAACAAATCTACTGTGGGGTACGTGATATTTGTTCTTTCTCAGGATGGGACGGAGGAAGGAAACTCAGCTTGTGGGTCGCCATGCTCGCCGGCGGGAGCGAGGGCCGCCAGGCAGCGGCGGAGGAGGTTGTAGTGGATTTCTCCCCTACAAACGCTGTTTGTCGCTGAGTAGCCGACCCATCCAATTCCCCAGTGTATGCCTCGTGGTCTAGGTCAACCAGCGCCGCCATACATCACGGAGCAGAGGTCAACTACTAAGCCACGCCTACCCCCGCTATTTAAGACCTGACCTCGTGGTGACCTGTCTCTTTCTACCTACACCAACCAGCCAGCTACACCTCCTCCTCCTCCGCCTGCCTGGTGGTCCTCGCTCCCGCCGGCGAGCATGGCGACCCACAAGCTGGTCCTCCTCTGAGCACCCTCACCAACCAGCTCTCTCTACATCACGCTTGTAACCATGCTGCCTTCCCAGCACCACGCTGCATTGTACATCCAATACAACATGTATATAGAGAGCACATTGTGAGTTTCCTTTCTCCACCCCATCCTGAGTGTGAACCAAACAATCTCATCCCCACAATGGTGACTCCCGGAGATTCGCACTCACACAGGATGGAGGAGAAACTGATCACGCTCCCAGTCTTCAAGCAGCATGGAAGACTGGCTTATCCACACAGAAGCAGCTCTCATCGGCTCTACAACTACTGTCTCTACACCGCAGGTTAGACACCCTAGAGCAGCTCTGCAACTCTAAGCAGACACCAGCTCCTCTTCCTGCCCCAAGCACCGCGTCCTACCGACCCCAGCACACCCGTCCTGCCTCAGACGCCGACCCCGGCCCAGCAGTAACCCCTGCCGCGGCCTCTGTTCCTGAGTGTGGACCCACACACCCCTCTTTTCTCCCTCAGGTACTCCCTGCTAATGTCCTGCACCCTGCTGCTGTCACGAGCCCTCATCTGCTTCTGCTGACGCAGCCCCTGCTCCTGACCCAGGCCCACACACCCCAGCAGGCGCATCTGACGACTCTGTACCTGCCGAGAGGGAAGCACAACATTCATCGCCTCCACACACCCTTTTTCTCCCTCTCTTCTCCCACAGATAGTGTGTATATAGACAGTTGTATCCAGCGACCGGCTCATCCACGCCATCGCCGTTGTCTCACATGAGGCACGCACCGCCCGTTCTGCCTCACATGTGCTAAGCATCCCTGCAGACAACAAGTCTCCTACACCGCCTGGAGGGAAGGGGGAGTATTGTAGTGGATTTTTCCCCTACAAACGCTGTTTGTCGCTGAGTACCCGACCCCACCAATTCCCCAGTGTATGCCTCGTGGTCTAGGTCAACCAGCGCCGCCATACATCACGGAGCGGAGGTCAACTACTAAGCCACGCCTACCCCCCGCTATTTAAGACCTGACCTCGTGGTGACCTGTCCTCTTTTCTACCTACAGCCGCAGCCAGCAACACCTCCTCCGCCGCTGCCTGGCGGTCTTCGCTCCCGCCGGCGACCCACAGGCTGGTCCTTCTCTGAGCACCCTCACCAACCAGCTCTCTCTACATCACGCTTGTAACCATGCTGCCTTCCCAGCACCAAGCTGCATTGTACATCCAATACAACATGTATATAGAGAGCACATTGTGAGTTTCCTTTCTCCATCCCATCCTGAGTGTGAACCAAACATCTTGAACCCGACAAGGTGGTGTTGCTTGCTGCGGCTGTAGCTAGAAGAAGAAGGTGGTCACCACGAGGTCAGGTCTTAAATAGCGGAGGTAGGCGTGGCTTAGTAGTTGACCTCCGTCATGTAAGGCTGCGCTGGTTGACCCAGACCACGAGGCATACACTGGGGAATTCACGGGGTCGGCTACTCAGCGACAAAAGCGTTTGTAGGGGAGAAATCCACTACACTATCTATTACTAATCAGCGGTAACCAACCAGTAACGTACAGTAATTACCATTATTGTAGTCGGGGAAGTACTTCGTCTACAGTATATATTTCCACGTAAGGTTTTCTTAATTAAAGGTTTAATTAATTTGAAAAGTATTATATTACTCTTTCATAAAAGTAAATGTGTTAGTAATATTAAAGTATTTTTTGATGATATAATTGAGTAAATCAGTAATGTTGGCAACCCTGATTCTTATTTCTATTTATGTTTTCGTAAAGTTTTCCTTATTGATTATTCTTTGCACTACTATATAAATTAATTTACCATAAAATGTGTATTAAAACTTGTATGTACGATTAAGGTTGGGTTTGTTTTTTAATATTCCCTCATTCGGATAATGTTTTTAGTGGGACGAGGACTATACAGAGGGGATTGGCAATTGGCAAGTGGAGGCGACCGCCGGCGTGTAGTGCAGGTCCAGTGCCCGTTGAGACACAGAGAGAGGAGGTGCTGTCGGTCGTCTCTCTCACTTGACAAACGCCGTTCGTAAAATGTATAGTAAGTTTTATTTTTAATTTATTTAAGTGGTTAAATTTATACTTGTGTAAAGGTCGATATATTAAGGTTATTTGCGTGTCGATTTTGTACTGATTTATTTTTAAATGTAATACTTTAAATGGACTTAAAACAATAAGACACAAGACGGTCAATTTATTACTATTATGAGCAAGCACTAGTGACCGATCACCCAAGCGGCTAACCAACCTATCAGTGGTGAAGAGGATAAAAGTATGAACGAGCATAGGGTAATGGTCGTTAACGCTCGTAATCACACTTGACTAGTTACTTTAGAGAATAGCAGAATACGAGACTATTTTGGTTTGTTTTTATTTAAAGTAATGAAATATGGTTTGGTTTTGGTCACCGTACTTAAGACTTTGTGAATACCTGTAAGTAACGTTCTTCATAATTGGTGTATGTTTGGTCTTGTATGTTACAGGATTTAACTAAAGCATTAAAAATGTTACTCATAAGATTTTTCGGTTAATATTGGTCCACTGGTTGTCCGCAGGTTCCCACCATGTTTACCTGAGGTTATAGTTGTTTCCAAATTACCACCACCTCTTTGTATGTTGGGTTGGTTGGTTGGTTCCTTTGATATAATTCTTTTATTTTTGGGAGTTTTACTCAAATTTAATCTCCATTTTTTGTGCAAATTAGCAGTTTTTGTTAATGTTAATTTTTTGCAAAAAACGCTAACTTGCAAATATGAATGTCAGATTTGACATAATTTGAGTGAAAAAACCCAAAACCAAAAACACTGAATCAGTAAAAAAAAAATATAAATAAACAAAAATTTCTCGTACCTGAGAACAGCCATTGGACGAATATTTACAGATTTTTCTTTTCGTCGTTACACATGATGGATCCAGCAAGAAAGTTTGTTCTATAGAGAAATGTCAAGTCTACTTCAATAGCTCGATTGCATCTGGACACTGGCAAGTACTGGGCATGTACTGGCTTTGTTACCCACTGTTGGCAAGTACTGGGTATATACTGGCGTTACACAGTTGGTAAGTACTGGGTATATACTGGCTGTTACGCAGTTGGCAAGTACTGGCCATGTACTTGCTCTGTTTTGCACGGTTGGCAAGTACTGGCTATGTTATGCACTGTTGGCAATTACTGGCTCTGTTATACACGGTTGGCAAGTACTAGCTGTGTTATGCACGGTTGGCGAGTACTGGCTGTCACTTGGAGAGTACTGACTGTCACACACTGATGGCGAGTACGGTACTGTAGTCATAAAAAAGCTAACACTGTGCCGTCATAACAGATTTTTCGAACAGTTCACATTCCCTACAAAGAAAAATTGCCTTAAGGTTTCTGAACTTGTGGCATCGACCTAAAGTTGTAACTTCTAGTGGGACGGGCAGCTGCTAGTTATGGACACTAGACCAAGTAATACCCTATTACAGGCTTATAAACCTGTATGAAGACCCCTTGCCTGCCTATAAGCTGAACATTGGCATAAACCTTTCCTTTACACAATATTCCGATCACTCGCTGCCCTATACAGTACTGTACTGTACTGTAATTATTCATACGTCATCCGTTTCAATATAGGTTTTAGAAATGCTATTTTCCAGTCATTGGGGGACGTATTGCTTGTTTATGCATCTATACAACAAGATTTAATGAGCTCCGGAAGCTCACTACACAATTTTTGAACACGGGAAGCTCCATCAGGGTTCTATGTACCTTTAGTTTTGATAATTTTTAATACTTGACTGTGTTGTCACTCTTCGAACACGTGGAGGTTTGCATCCTCTTGTGAACAGTATTTAATGCCTCTTGTCTTGCCCTGATCCGAGTATGCGTAACTACGATCTTGTCTCGAGTCCGATATGCCCACATGTAGGAAGCTTTTGGGACATTGACTTGACCTCATTTGGAATCAGACTGGCAATCATACTCAGTCTTTCTACACTCTGAATGGTCTCTGTATTCCTTGTCAGTGGGTTTGGTCTGGAGTATACAGTATATTTTATCAATCACAGTTTACTTAACTGGCTATATGCAGCATATTGTCTGCATTCCTGTTTCTGTGTAATTTCACTCCTCCAGTCAGTCACCCACCCATAATGCGGTGTTGTATATTAATGCCTGCAAACTGGCCTGGCTTAATGAACTGCAGTTCTCTGATCTATAATTAATCCAACAAGGATAAAGTCTCTTGCATTTAGTTTAATTTTATGCCATTTATATTCAAAATCCTTCTCCTGCAAGTACCTTCACCTGGCTGGCTCTAAGGTCCTGTCTCGCATAAGTACAGGAACTGGATCTCTCTTAAGTTCCACAAATAACTGGCGGTGTCAACCTTGGCATTATTGACTTGCCTGCATCTACTGTATAGTAGTCTCAATTTGTCCAATACATTGTTCCCAGTTCAGTTAATATCGGGTAACTGTATTCTTTCCATGCTAACCTGGCCTAGGCCCTGCCCTTCTTCTATACTAATAGCCGATTGGTTCATGGAGAATTCAAACTAAATGTGTTCACAATGGGCAAGCAGACCCGTTATAAATTTTAAATATCTGGGCTATCAAAATGTAAATAATTTCGAGGCATTATCACCTGAGAGAGGATATTAGAAAATTTTTCATATTTACTATAAAAGGTTGATATAAATACGGGCTTATATACACCAGTCCGGGGGAGGTCAAATGCTCAGGGGAACCAATCTGCTATTAGTATAGAAGAGGGACGTGGCTTATGGGCAGGTAAGCATGGTCAGGGCCGGCGCTACCCACTAGGCGAACTAGGCGATCGCCTAGGGCGCCAACATCTGGGGGCGCCACAAATTCAGGGCAAACTTGGATAAAATTAAAAATGAAATGAAAACTGTGGTGGACACTGTGGTGGAGCCGTGGAGGGTCAGAGCAGAAACAATGTAGTCATGGGTTACTGTACCTACATTAGCTTATCAAAACTTTCAAGGGGGCGCACATCTAAAGGCTTGCCTTGGGCGCCAAATCATCTTGCACCGGCCCTGAGCATGGTGTACTGCCAGATACTGGGGTCGCTAATGAATTAAAGTTTTTAGGGATGACAATGATGTGCGCAGTACAATGGAAATAAACTTGTACTGTATTCAATATAAACTTTATACCTAGTGAAGGATGTGGATAACCTTTGTTATAAATGATGGAATTTAAAGCTTTTTTATCGATATTTATTTAACTTTACAAGGAACTTTATGTAATTGTAAATTAATGTTCTGGGTTGACGGCCTGTTGATGTTTGTAGACAGTCTTTGAATTAGTCTAACTCATAATTGTAAATGTTAGTTTCTTAAAATTGTAACTTGGTTTTGATTCTTTTGAATTACTTTTGTTTTTTAATGTTGTGGCATTCTTACAAGAAACTGATGGAGGAAATGTTGAATGTTACTTTGCTTTACTCTTACCAACAGTGCTTGAATGTGATAAACATTCTTTCACTAACATATACCTTGCATAATGTTCATCATTAATCATGTAGTACTGTACAGTTCTATAAAACATTGTAGGGGCAGTTAACCAGTATAATCAGGGGGATGACTACATAATACTTGTAATACTGTACACTATATCAAAGCTTATTTGTCAATAAATCAGTGGTATCACTACTGTATTAGTTAAAGGGCTATGGTAAAAATAAGGTTGAATTACTTTGTTTTTCTCCACTCTTCGTATCTGGCGCTTAAGTTCTGCTGTGAAATGCTTCATTTAGTTGGTAAGCTAGTTCACAGGTGTCCCTTATTATACTAAAATTTTGTTCCTAGAATTGCTTTCATTGAGTGGATGTAATTTACATGTTACAGTATTATGTTCCTGTGAGGGAAAATCTTCAGTCATATACAGTTAAAAACAGCATCAAAGTGGGATTTGTTTGCTTCTGTGTAGTGTAGACATTTGTTGAAACTCGTTTATCAGGCATGTCCTGCATATTGGGGGATACCCTTGTACCTGTATTGATGTAGCAGGTACTGTTTATAGGCAGTGTACTGTAGGTATACTATTTATTTTTTTAAGTACATAGTTGTCATAATTATTCATTCCAGGATGATGACGACTTGAAGATGGAGAATGCAAGAAATGATGACCACAAGAGTTCTTGTGGTGACGTGACTTGCTGCACCAGAAAGTCAGGTTGGGTACAGTACAGGGCATCTCATTGTGGTTTCTTTACTAAACTGTCGACAAAGTACAGTAATTGTAACCCATGGACTGCCTTGTCTAGTTAACTCTTCAAGTGGAAATATCTGAAGTATTAGTACTGCACTGTACAATACTAGGGATGCACCAATTGATGTCGGCTACAGATAATATCAATATTTTGCTGAATAATCCATATCGGTCAAGTAAGAGTATTGGCTGATGTTATTTTCTGTATTTTGTGTTAAGAAGTTACTAGGTAACGTTTTTATTACCGGCAAAATACAGTAATTACGGGAACAGTTAAGTCTTTTCACTTAATATGGAAAAGTCACGCTAAGTTGCTGATCATTGTTTTACAGTTTTATTGGATAACATGGCAGTATCCTCTGTGTAGGTCAGTCTACAGGATTTCATTATATGGTAATGAATATATTATGCCAGATAAAGTGGCTTTTATTTAATCTTATGAGAAATAATAGGATAAAGACTGTCGCTGACGAAGATTGTTTTACATATTGTAGCATCGTAAAAGTACATTAGATATTTATTTACCAACATTACCCAAATTAGAACTAAGAACGACCTGGTACAGTATTTTCATAACTCTTATAAAGAACGACATAAGTTGTTGAGGCTGGAGACGAGTTTTTTATAACAAAATTAGTCAAAATGATAAATAACTCCCTTTACATACTATTTTATTAAAATAAGTAAATAATTAATTAATGTTCCAAAATGAGTCTTAAACATCAGAAAAAAAAGTTGTTGTTGCTTAGAAATACGTGGATTTTCTACCACAGTCTCTGTACAACAAGTAAACATTAAGCTGATGCAGACAACTCGATGACGATACAACAAATATGGCTGTCATGAGGCGACTTTAACATAAATACCGGGTAATAAAGGAATATAAATATAGTAACACTTACCAGTTAATATTTTGAGCTTTGTGTGGTTTATCAATGTTACCTCGCTCCTACTACCTCTGTATTCTGACCGGCACTCCTCTGCTTCGACCCATATTGCTTTCATTTTCACGTCAATAGTAATTACTTTCCTGGGTACCTTAGCTGGTTTGACAAGACAAGACAGGGCATCGGGTTATTTAACATTGATGAACAGACTAACAGCAAGTTTATTGGAACAAGTTTAGGTGTTAGATTATGAGTTAGTCTGTACTTACTATTATACTGTACAGTGTGTATTTAATATACACGGTGTTCTTCCTGGATGGTTGCAGCTTCCAACAACCTTGATATTATTTGCCTATAAATAGTTGGCCACTTGATTAGTTAATAATTACTGGGTGTTGTGCCGGGTAGACTTAAACGCTGCAATAATATAAAACCCAGATGCTCTTAATAATGCAGCTTCAAAAATTCCTTAAGACTATTACTAAAGTTGATGTATTTGTGGACGGCTTCTCTACCACCAGAGTAAATTGTTTTATTTAAATACTGTATTTGGCCGATACTTTGTTTATAGCCTGGCTTTGGTGGCGAGACTATATAGTGACTTAACTGTTTTACCTGCATGATAAAATTGACCTAAATTATAGCATTAACTCCAAATCTGGCAGCAGATTATTGAGAGTTTTGATTCTGGTTATTAACGGTGCATCGCTAATGTATTGTTCTTCAATTACTGTACTAGATTAAGTGGATTAATGTGGTACTTCCATAGAGGATAAAACCTTCATTTTAGGGTCATGTTATACAATACTGTATTAGGATAAATTAGTATTGTGAAAATATTTGACTTGAAACCTTTTATAGGTAATAACTTGTGACTTTACTTCCAGTAGGTTCTGGACCTTGTCAAGGAGAGGTGTGCACTCTGCTGTACCACACATCTTGCCTCACTTGTACTGCTGTACCAGGCTTCTCTCCTCCAATATCAGGATGGCAAGTGATTCACAACACAACTAAAGGAAGCAGGTGCCAAGATACAGCCCAGACCCAGCCTTCCACCCCTCCTCTCTACCTCAGGTAAAGAATATAACAAGTTCAGTTGATGTAAAAATATACAAAAAACAAGATATTACATATAAAATAGCCTCGAAGTGCTCACTTACAGAGGAGTAAAGTTTACTTTATCTGCCCGTGTCAAAATGAACTTTTCCAACACTCTTATTGGAATTTCTCTGCCAGTTTATCCTTAAAACCAAAGACAAACAAATTGCTCTGGGATATTCAATGACCATACTAGATTTCTTGGTGCTATAAATTTCAAGACAAAATAGAAAGTAATGGAGAAATTATACTTAGATTTATATATAAGAGAAAATGTGTAAAGGGTTGAGAATATTGAAGGGATTATGGGGCTAGAATTGATTTACTTTCTTGGTCAAAAGTGTTGAACACTTGACAGTATTTGGCATGCAAGTACCCAAAGATCTTGGGTATTAAGTAGAGTTTAATCCTATTTTGTGGTTCAGGCATAATATGATAGTGTTATTAGTATATCCAAATCATATAACTCACAAGTAGATGACAGATATTGCTAAGTGTTCAATACTTTTGACCCCGATTGTACCTATGATCCTTGATTGATAACAGGAATATCATAACAATTGACCAAAGTTAAAAGCCCCAAAACTGGACTCTGGCCGTAATTACTTATAACTTCTCAACCAATCGTTTAATACATCAAAGTTATAACACCAGTAAAATAATTATTGGTCATGTTTATGCTTGACTTTGTTAATTAACTCCGTAATGTACATAGTTACCTACAAGATGTGTACACTTAATAAATAATAAAGTACTCTCAGCAACATTCACTTGTAATATTGTACCCAGTTGAATAATAATAATGATTATAACAAGACCTGTGACTGACCCACTCGAGGAATTCATTGACATAGTTAGTGGAAAGTAAAAATATTCACCACAAAACAATAATTTCTGGGTCAAAGTCATTGAAAGAAAACATTTAAAATATATTAACAAAACTATGAACCAAAGATACAGGAAATATTGTAGTTAAGCATCAATAACTATTATTGTTAAACTAAACTCGCTTGTGGGTAAGTTTTGTGATGAAAGGTTTTTGGTTTTATAGTTTAGTTAATATGAACCATAGCTTGTACAGTTCGGTTAAGTTGCTGTACAGTTACTGATAATATTCCCTAGACACTTGTTCTCAAGGATCATTTGGTGAAAAATTAAAATTAATAAAAATTCTTATTTTTCTATTGTGGAGTGTTCGTAATTTTGTCCAAAACACTACAGTACATTTTGTCATTACTGTATTTAAAAAAAATTTATGGTTAAAAAATTTGAATATTAATTTTACATTTTATTTTGTACAGAAATGTTGTTCTGAACACTGGAGTGCCATGCTGCCTGGAGACTGTGCTTACTGGCTACTGCCCTGAATTTCCCTGCAAAGCTTGTTGGTTGCTGCCCTGGATGGTTCTGCTCTGTGCATGTTGCTGTCCTGACTAAGCCTGCTCTGTGTGTCACTCCCCTGACTTGCCTCTGTTTCTGTGTGCCGCTTCCTGACGGTTTCTGTTTCCAGCATGTTAGTTGTCCTGACGGTTTCGTTTCAGGTGCTGCTTCCTGGACGGTTTCTGCTTTTGTGCATGCTGCTGTCCTGGACGGTTTCTGGTTGTGTGTGTTAAGCCCCTGGACGGTTTCTGCTCTGTGCATGCTGTCCTGGACTGTTTCTGCAAATTTATAGAGCCATTAAGTTTCCATTAATAAATGTCTAAATGTCATTATGTCTTTATTAACCTCTTCCAGCATTTACAATATTTTCAACTTTTGCAGAAAATTCACCAAGTTCACCTTCAGATTTTAAAGCAAAATAATTAAATATTTGAAAAAATATCTTTATTCTTTATATACAAATATAATATACAAATGAAAAAAATATATATAAACTTGAAAAATAAACAAATAAATATATATACAGTATAAATATATATATAAATAAAAAATAAATATAAATAAAAGAATGTAAATAAATAAAACAATTATAAATAAAATATAATAAATATATAAATAAAATATATAAATAAAACAAAATAACCTAAAAACCATAAAAACTAGCTAAAAATACAGAAAAATAGCTAAAAATATGAAAAAACTAGCATATTTTATGAAAAAATGGCGAAATTTGAGCGAAAAATGGCGAAAAAATTGCCCTTTTTTTACCCTTAAGTGTTTTTTGAGTTTGCCATTGCCAGGACTAACGTTGAAAAAATTTGGTAAAGGATAATCGGAAGAGTCTCCGGTAAAACGCTTCTTCAAATTATCATTCACCAATAATATAAAAAAATACAAGCATAACGGACTACCTGGACGTGGGGAGAGTAACTCAGGAGGCGCCCAGTGAGTTACTCTCCCCCCCGTCCAGGTAGTCCGTTATGCCTTATAATACACAGATGCCAAGCTGGAGCTCTTAAGAATGGCACAAATGTTTTACCTCTAAAACCACACAAAAATGTATTATTACTCAGTTTGCCCAGGAATAATTTTGGCCATTTTTGGACTTGGAATATTTTAAATGATGAATTTTTGGACTTAGAATAATTTTTTGACTTAGAATGCTTAAACAATGAATTTTTGGACTTAGAATAATTTTTGGACTTACAATATTTTAAATGATGAATTTTTTGAATTAGAATGCTTAAACAATGAATTTTTGGACTTAGAATATTTTAAATGATGAATTTTTGGACTTAGAATATTTTTAAACAATGTATTTTTGGACTTATAAAAATTACTGTTTAGTACATCTAGACCTTAATAGATAAATACAAAAATATTTGGCATAATCAGATTTAATACATCAAAATAATTCTGACATTTCGTTGCTACTATAATATGCAGT